CATAAACTTAACTCCACACTCTCTCTCTCTCTCTCTCTCTCTCTCTCTCTCTCTCTCTCTCTCTCTAAAAAATGTAAGTGTTTTTACGTTCCCATCGGCCATCGACACAGTTTCAATCATTTAGGAGGCGGGTCTCCAACCCTGCCTGCCAGGTCCAAACCAAGCTGAGAGGGCGTTACAACATCTCAGCAGACAGACTGAAATACCGTACCAACTGAGCTATAGGCGCGCCCTGCGTCAGGTTGAGACGCCATAGCGTTACCTCAGAATTACAAAGTTCTATCTGACATTTCTGGCCATTTTGACTTACAAAAACTACGAGGTCAGAAACCAAATTTTTAATACACTCTATCAAAATCGTAAGGTTCTTCGGAGTAGTTGTCAAGATATTCAGGAAAAAATTGAATTCAAAAAAGTTTGACATAAGTTTGACATGTTGTGGAACATAATAGTATTGTGAAACTCAAAATTCTTCCAATTAAGTCAAATTTCTCAAAACTAAGTACTGAGCAAACAGAACTTTGTAATTCTATGGTAGCGATAGGCCGACCGACGACACTCCCTCCTCCTCCATCACCTCCTCCCCCGGGCTGGGCACGACATCAGTCGACCGGGCTCATCATGGAGCATCAAGGCGAGGGAGGGGAGGGAAGAGAGGGGAGGGGAGGGAAAAGTCAGCAACGACAACCCCCAGTGACGTGCGCAGTCAACAATAAATGCCAGACCGCATGCCGCCGTGGCAGCAGTGTCAGAGTTATAGTCTCCAGAGATGTCACAATCAAGGGTTGCGGGATGAAAGAAAAGAGAACTGCTGCTTCCTTTGATGAGGACTTCTTTTCTCTTCTCGCTTCACCCCCCCCCCCCCCCCCCCCCCCAACAAACACACACATCACCATCATCATCAAACGTGCACACAAAAGCATGCATATGCCTCTCTGTCTTCTTTTCCCAACCAGGTATGGCACCCCTCCCTCTTTCGAAAACAAACAAAATTGCTTACTCTGATCACACACTCACATACCGCCATGGAATTTGGACCACCCAAATAAAAGTGAACTGACGTAGATTATGTGATCAAAGCAAAGATAACGCCAGTCAACGAGTCTTCACCTAACGTTTATCAACTGGCAGGCCTTTCAAACCAGACTTAACCCCACTAAAAAACCACAAAAACCAATGCAGTCGGCATGCCCCCC